AACTCCCTTATCGGTGCCGCCATCTTGGATTTCTAAAATTTCATAATTTTCCCTAGAGGCCGGATCCTTCGGCTATCCGACGCCGCACAGTGCGTTGAGCTAGCACACTCGTAGGTACCCTATCAATTTCAGTTTTTGAAGCTAGACCTCAATTTCAAAATTTGTCCCATGATGTATGGGTGTTGCCAGCAAATTCTGACAAAATTCCCCTAAAACCCTTCAGGGGACGATTTTTGGTAGACCAACAAAACTTTTTCATTTAAAATGTCGAAAAAAATTTTTCCCACTTTATGGGACTTTTCTCCAAATTTAACCCAAAATCGGGGAAAATTTTTAGCCCTGGCAAATCTTCTTACTGAGACTTACCCATGTCAGTAGGTGGCGTTTAGCTACGGGGTTGCCATGTGCAGCAAAAACACGATTGAAAATATCCCAAAATTTTTCCAAAAACTTAATCTCCCATAGCTTGGCCGCCATCTTGGATTTCTGAAATTTCATAATTTTCCCTAGAGGCCGGGTCTTTCAGCCTCCCAATGCCCTACAATAGGGATCGGTAGCATCCCCGCAAGTACCCTAGGAATTTCAGTTTTTGGAGAGACACCCCTATTTCTATTTTGGTCAAACCATGTATGGGTGTTGCCAGTAAATTTCAACAAAACCCACCTAAAACTCTTTAGGGGATGTTTTTCAATAGGCCTTGATGCCTCTTTTGTCAAAAATGTCGAAAAAAATTTTTCCCACTTTTTGGACCATTTCTCCCAAATTACCCCAAATTCGGGAATTCTTTTTAGCGCTGGCAATACTTTATACCGAGACCCATCATCGCCCCATAGAAGCCGACTCGCTGCGGGGTTGCCCTGTACCTAAAAAATGACTTTAAAAATAATCCGGATTTTTAGGACCAATTTCACACGCCCCCAACTCGGCGGCCATCTTGGATTTTCGACATTTCATAATTTTCCCTAGAGGCCGGGTCCTTCGACTTTCCTATGCCCCACTACCGGTGTCGCCAGCACCCCCGCAACTACCCTGGGAATTTCGGTTTTTGAAACCCTCGAAAAATTACAGTTTTCATTTTCATTTTTCACGCCGCCATCTTGGATTTTATTTTTTTATTTTAACCTGAAATGCAACCGTTTGCGGCCCGCTACGAACTACCGCTTGAACGAAATCGATCCGACGGAAATTGACAAAGTTCAGCCGCCATCTTGGTCCGCCATCTTGGATTTTCCCAACTTTCGGAATTTTCTCATGGTCACCCTAGCGAGAGGTACACTTCCCCCATACATCGTCACGACCCCCCGGCACTGCTTCTGGGAGAACAACTATGTCAATCAGTCAGTGACCGTAATGCAGCTTTATATATTATAGATTTAGATTTTATTCTTTATGTGTTTTTTTAACACATTTTCATTTATAAAACATATCCTAGAGGTTATCTAGTATCCTAGAGAAGACCTCATTAACTCTAAAATTCGTAACTGCGATTTGATGACATGAAAAAACTATGTATCAATTTGTATTCCTTATCTACTAGTAAATAGAGAAATAATTATGAATATGTGAAGTTCTATGTTAATAATATCAGAGAGATTATAAACTATATTTATTCTATGAAATGAAACTAAACTAAACGAAACGAAATGAAACGATACGAAACGAAACGAAACGAAACGAAACGAAACGATATGAAACGAAATGAAATGAATGATTCTGATGTATAAGCTATATTACTGTAAAGTTTCATAATAACGCGTTCAGTAGTTTTTGCGTGAAAGAGTAACAAACATCTATCCATACATACAAAACTTTGTGGTTTGTTATAATAATAAGATATTATACCCTCAACGCCATCATATCCCCGGATGTAATATTTAAAGAGATTATCAGCTGTCGATATTGTGGTAATCGTTAAGTACATTTTAATCCGGTGGCAGAGAGCGAGCCTACCGTCACCATATTATATAAACGCGAAAGTTTGTGAATAAGGACGTTTATTACTCTTTCACGCAAAAACTACTAAACGGATTTTGATGAAACTTTACATTTATAAAAGCTTATGCATCAGAATAACATATCGGATATATTCTTTAAAACCGCGGGCACGGCTATTATTATATAACATTACCTGTTACCTGCTACTTCAGCCGTTTACAGTGTAACTGTTTTGTTAAAATCTACGTTACTCCGTATAACATTAGCTATCTGCGAGTGAAAGTCCTATCAAAATTGGTCTTGTCGTATCAGTGATTGAAGAAGAGAAGACGTAGAGAGCGGCTCCACCCCTACACTATTGACATCCCAGCTGCTCGAACTAACCGTTTTGCATCATCTTTCCTTATCCGAGCAGCTAAGTAGTGGAACTCTCTACCAGCGTCTATTTTTCTATTTTTCCTGCCTCTTACAACATTGGGTCTTTTAAGTCAAGAGTGAATAGGTATTATTTGAGCTTGCGTGTAACAGCTTAGACCACATCATCACTTAACATCAGGTGAGATTGCGGTCAAACGCGCTCAAATTATGATATAAAAAAAAAAAAATCAAACAGACGGTAGAAAAAAAATATATCATAAAAAATTAACGTCCATAAGCGGCTAAAATGTTCTACATGAATAAATGATTTTTGAATTTGAATTTAGACAAAAAAATTTGATCGATTCACGTGACGTTTAGTGGCAGGTAGCTGATGTAATACCATAGAAGTAGCCATCAGCTACCTGCTTATTTTAGAAAAATTAAATTATATTCCACGCAGACGAAGTCGTGGGTACAGCTAGTATACATATAATTCACTTTCCGATTCTTTTGTTTACTTCAATATAACATAATGTGTTTGTTATAGCGTTGCCTAGTAAACAATAGAGACGGCTGTCGAATACATCTGTTGGTGTGCGACGCGACACCAGTATCACTTATCACGGCACCGGAGTACACTTCTAACACGTCATGTCACGTCAATCACGACCACTAAGCCATTAACGAAAGAGGAGCGTGACAATTGCAAAAAAATCACTAATAATAATCATCTCAGGACAATTCACACAGCGCTATCTAGACCCAAGTTAAGCTAGCTAAAGCTTGTGTTATGGGTACTAGATAACTGGTACAAATATTTAGATAATTTTTTTTTCGTAAATACATACATATTATACATAGAAAACACCCAGACCGGTACAAACAATCATACTCATGAATACAAATGTTTGTGCCGTGCGAGGAATCGAACCCGCGACCATTGGATATAAAGCAGTGTGCTAGACCGCTATACCACCGAGGTCATCAATCACTCGTAATAATGTTAATTGTTTAGTAAAACTCAATTGGAAGATGATATTTTAATAATGTGAGTATCACTTACGGCGTCCACTCAGCACCGGAGTACACCTCTAACACGTCATGTCACGTCAATCACGACCACTAAGCCATTATCGAAAGATGAGCGTGACAATTGTGGAAAAATATCACTCGTAGTATCGCTCCTTGAACCCAGTCAGGACACCAGGAGACTTATGCGCTTTTGGGAGGAGATTGGTTGACTACTTTAGTAGTCTGGCTCTACACGCACAACGGCCCAGATGAGAGGCTAATTGCGTAGAATGGAGTCCAGTCACATCACATCACATCTCATCATATCACATCACATCACATCACATCACATCACACACATCACATCATATCTCATCACTTAATATCACATCACATCACACAGCATCGCATCGCATAGCATCTCAACTCATCTCATCATATCACATCACATCAGATCACTTAATATCACATCACATCACATTATTATTATTAGTTTTGTAATTAAATTGTTTAGCAATACTCATCTATTCAAAAGAGCAACACACAAGTTTCTTGCTCATTCTTCTTGTCAATCTGCGTTCCGAATGAGTGATAGAATCAAAATATGACTATTCAAAAGTGCTTGTATTGAGTTTATTTGAATAAAGATTATTTCTATTTATTTTTTCTACTCAATTGGAAAATGTTATTTTAATAAAGTTACTTAAAAAGATCAGTTCAGAAGACATATAACAAGATATCTGCTAAACAATCTGTACATTTAAAAAATTCAAAATTTTATTGTAATAAAGTAAGTTATTGAAACAATAATCATGATAATCACGTCAAATATGCAACTGAACAAAGATTAGTCAATATTTCATCCGTCATACTCGTGAACGAGTGCTGTTTGTAGAGACTGCTCTGATCTGATCACTACGTCTGATTTACTCCTATTTAGTTTACGTACTTAATTAGTCAACAAGTTGTTTATGTATTCGTTCTTTTGGCTCTTATGAATTAGTGCCAGTTGGTTTTTTTTTTATAACACGGGGGACAAACGTGCATGCGGCCCACCTGATGGTAAGTAATTACCGCCGCCCACGCGCACCCGCAAATCCAGGGGAATTGCAAGTACGTTGTCGGCCTTTTAAAAAGGAATAAACTCTTCTCTTGAAGGTTTCAATATCGTATCGGGTCGGAAATACCACTACTGGAAGGTGATTCCACAATGTGGTTGCGCGAGGCAAAAAGTTTCTAGAAAACCACACTGTGGAGGACCGCCATTCGTCCTGATGATCAGGATGGTATTTTATTTTCTGGCGGGTGGTACTTTGTATTCACACATTTCGACTTAAAAATGTAAAATTGCAACTGTTATTTAAAAGAACAACATCCGTGTTGTTCTTCTCCGTGTTAAACTTCCGAGTTTAGCTCATCTTCTTGTAGTGAGGCAGCTTTCCGAATGTGTGATAAATTAAAAAAATAAGTAATGATTATTCAAAAGTGCTTCAATGAAAGTATATTTGAATAAAGAATTTTTCATTCTTTCTTAATTAGCTATTTATTAAAGATTTCGCGAGAACGTCGTCTGAATATAATAGAGCCGGCGTCGAGTAAATAATAAAATGGCCGAGGCGTAGCTTATTGAACGAACGAATTGTGTGTCACTTACAATAATTTATTTCTTTGTGCGCAGAGCGGTGAGAGGAGAGATGAGCGGCCGGGAGCGGGCGGCGCCGCGCGGCGCACTACTGCCGCTGTTGTTCGCCTGCCTGCTCGCCACCCAACCACGTCAGTACACAATCACAATACGTTTTCCAGAACCTCCCGAGTACCACCTCTCTATCTATTCTGCGACGAACCTTTTCCACCAATTTTTCTTCGAATTCGAGGCGTTCTCCGCCCGCGATCCAATTTCCGAAATTGCTTTTATACGACAAAGAAATCGGGACCGCACCTTCGGCTATTGTAAACTGACTGTAAACAACTTAATCTAATTACGTCGCACGGTCCCATCGGCCTGTCGCGAGCCTGTAATATTGTGAAGGCAGAGTTCGCGACTCGCAATAATTGAAATTTCGTGTACCAATTGACAACGGAGTGGGAGTGGGCCGGCCGGAACGTCGGCGGAGTTTAATTACGAAACAACTCGACGACTCGATAACTCTGTTTCTTTTAATGTCGCTCCCTGTAGAGTTCATTACGAAGGCGAAACAGAAACTAATTCTGTCAAACGAACAACGACAAACTTAACTGAATTACACGTTTGAGGACAATTGTCGAGAATTCTCGCCGTAACTTGGTAACGTAGGCCGGGCGCGGCAGAGGCGCCCGCCGCGCCGTCCGCCCCGCGCCGGCTGCCGACACTTTTTTTGGGTCAAACGGTTTAAACTCAACTTGCGTCGTTACAGTTTTAAGTGGCTTAAACTTACTCTTTGTTTGAAAAAGTATCCGTATAGTAACTTAGACCTGAGCCGGCGGACGATTGTGTGTGGCAAGAGAGAGAATTATTAAAACCGAAAAACTTGAGGCATTTTCTCTGCCGTGCTTTGTAACAAACAAAGGATAGAAATAAAATGTTTTAAAGGGCCACCCAGGAATATTGCTGCGAGACAAATTTATCAGTGAGATAAGATTCCACTTCGACATTTATCTCATGACACGCGCGAATCAAAGAGGAGGAATGAGATGGATGCTGTAGGTGTCCAAATAAGGTTATTTCAAATAATCGTACAAATACGACCATAATTAATTTAAATTATAAGTTTGTACAATTATAAGGTTCAATTTTCAAAGACACAATTTAACAATAAACAAAAGAGCATACTCTCGATTTTTATTTTTAGGCTGTTGATTAAATATTATTAAATTATACATTCAAAGTTTATAAAAATTTTACCCCTAATGGCTTAAAATAAAATTGGGGATGAAAGTGTGTATGCAAAACTTTTGAAGCTAGAACGATGAAACTTTTTTCTTTGCCTTTTTTGGGTTAGATTACTAAATATTTTTTTCTTTATTTGGTCAAGATCACTTTTCCACACGGACGCTCTGGCGGGCACAGCTAGTGAACATTAATTGTCGAAATTTTATACTCCTGCGTCCGTGCAAATTTCGTAGAAGGGTTATAAAGTTTTTGCTTCACGTTTTAATAACACTCGAATAAAAATATATGTTGATTCTCAGAAACAAAAAGAAAGCTCTGAATTTATGATAGGAAATGATGCGGAACCTTCTATTAATTAACTTATAATGCCTTCCTCTCAGCTGACATTGTACTTCTTCTTCTTCCGGCCTTATCCCATTTCATTTGGGGTCGGCTCTCCTAATCTTTCTTCTCCAGTGGTGTCTATTTCGGACTGTTGCTGGCTCTATGTTTCCGTTGTCCTTAAGGTCCTTACGACATCCATGTTAATCGGGGTCATCCACGCTTTTTCGGTCCTGAATTGAGGTCGAGAACTTTTCTCGTCAGGTGGTCTTCCGGTCTCCTCATGTCATGGCCATACCATCTAAGTCGTGCTTCCACTAGCTTATCCAGTATAGGTCTTATTCTGAATGTACCTCTGATATAGTGATTCGGCACTTTGTCCAAGAGGGTAACTGCGTCTGACCACCTGAGCATCCTCATCTCGGCGACATGAATGTATATCCGATTGAGCTTCATTTCAGCTGAATACATACATACACATACATACATACATTACAACTTAATAATAATCATTTATTTATTTTCCCAAATTATTTCATTCAATTATTATTATTTTATTGATTCCTACACTAGACTGGGCCTGTCAGTAACATTTGTTTGGTGAAATGTGTAGTGGTGGTGTGCGAGGTGAGCGGTGATCCTCCGCGGCTGGCGCCGTGGTTCACAGCGGAGCCTCCGCCGCTGGTGCAGTTCGCGGCGTCCAGGGGCGCTCGCGTGCGGTGCGCGGCGCGGGGCACGCCGCCACCGACCGTGCTGTGGCTGAGCGACGACGGCACCCCGCTCACCGACACCCCTGGACTCAGGTCAGTACCGTCACTAGGGTTGCCAACCATACTTTTTAATAACGATACAAATAAAGTATGCAAAAATACTCAAAAAAAATTCAAAATATCTTTCTTCATGTCTCTCTCTCTTCAGATCTATTACAGACTCTTATGATATGTCAAATCTACCGTCAGTTCGCAATGATTTCGAGATGAGAAGAACTGACAAGAAACTCAGCTCGTGTTTTTTTTAAATAAATATTGAGCAGTTATTCTGGCAGGGTTATTATTATTACTTACACTATTGTTGCATTTTCTCAGCTTTTGCTGGTTTTTTACCACACTTGCGTGCTGAAACAAAGCAAGTGCAGTGTGTGAGCGTGTGTGTGTGTGTGAGAGAGTGTGTGTGTGAGTGTACTTTTATTACTTTTTTTAATATCTTTTACATTTTGTATTCTTAAATTTCTGTTTTGTAGTTATTATTATTATTACTTACCTGTATATAAGAGTACGTTTTCACGTATCACTGAACAAGTGACGTTTCATAGAAATCAAAGAGGAATTTTCCAATAAGCAATAAAAAGTAAAAGGAAAATGATTTCATGAATACCGGCGGCGTATTGACAATCTGACGACATGATGCCGCCACCTCGTTCCCGGGAGGCAGTGCTACACTCGCTCGGCCACACCCCCTCATATCAGCAATATTACATTTGGCCTCGGTGGTCCAGCGGTTTAGCACACCGCCTTACTTCCGATGATCGCGGGTTCAATTCCTCGCATGGCACAAACATTTGTATTCACGAGTATGTATGTTTTCTATGCATTTACGAAATAAAATATCTATGTATTTGTATTTCAAAATTGACAATAAAAAATGGAACAATAGAAAAATTTATTTTAAATATATATGTAAAAAATGCAATAAAAGTCTATGAAGGTGCGTCGTGCACAACAGCTTTATGGAGAAGTATGAAAGTAAGTTGGTGAAGCTGTAATATAGTTATTCTTAACATTATTTTATTCTTACAACCTTTTACCGGTTCAATTTTCCTCACTCCCTCAAATCTAAAGTAGCGAAAACAATACAATATTGATTCTGATGGGAAAAGATAACCATTAAGCTCCGTCCTTACTCGCTACCTGCGGATATAAATGACAGGACGGTAACAAATGGTGGCCATCCATCCGATGGTCCCGCGAGGGTCTGCTGCGATATAAGTATAGCGCGATAAAAATTGCAGACATCCGCCTGCTCCAGAACAAACAATACTGATGAACCTCATTTTTAACGTTGTCATGGAAAAATTAATAATTAAGATAAGTGAGAGCGATCATCATTTGTCTGCGCTAATTGTGGTAGACGTCGCCGACAGTTCGTTCGCTTAAAAATGAAAGTTTGCTCAGAAACTGTCTCGCTCGTTTATGACTGGCGCGTACATCGTTTCTCTAATGTGTTAACTCACGATGATTCACATCTTAACTTGGCTTTTTTTTTTTTTGTGGATAATAATGAAATGCTGCTCCCGCCTGCGCTAACGGTTTACGCTGGCGGGACACCAGTAGAGGATGATATGATGAATATGAGGTCAGGTCAGTTAGCACATCGTGACAAATTCACTAGGAATTTATAACGATGATTTGCAGGAGGAACCGTGTGGAGGTCGACCTAACATGGTACATTGCTAGCAATGGGGTTACTAGTTCCCATTACTAACAATCCCCTTCCCCCTCTTAACTTGGCTGACGTGTGCAGGGAATGCTTTACACAATTCAAAAATGCGCGATTTTCCATTGTTTTTTTTTATAACGCAGGGGACAAACGAACATGCGGCTCACCTGATGGTAAGTGATTACCGCCGCCCATGAGCACCCGCAACACCAGGGGAATAGCAAGTACGTTGTCGGCCTTTTAAAAAGGAATAAGCTCTTTTCTTGAAGGTTTCAATATCGTATCGGTTCGGAAATACCATTGCTGGAAGGTGATTCCACAATGTGAGGCAAAAAGTTTCTAGAAAACCGCTGTAGAGGACCGCCATTCATCGATGATGATCAGGATGGTATTTTAGTTTCTGGGTGGTACGATGGTGAAACTCAGCAGCTGGTATTAATCCGAACAATTCCTCAGAACACTCCCCAAGTGATATATGCGGTAGCAAATGCACAGAGATGCAATATCTCGCCGCAGAGCCGATAGGTCGAGTCTGTCACATAGACGTTGATTACCAATGATTCTGGCTCGGTTCTGAATTTACATGCTCGTTCTTTTCTGCGTGAAAGCCTATTATAAATTGCTTATTTATCTTCACTAACTGTCGTAGGCGACAACCGAGCCAGAATTATTGGCAATCAACGTCTATGTGACAGACTCGACCCATCGGCTCGGCGGCGAGATATTGCATTGCATTTTTTACCGCATATATCACGGGGAGTGTTCTGAGGAATCGTTCGGATTAATACCAGCTGCTGAGTTTCACCATCGTACCACCCAGAAACTAAAATACTATCCTGATCATCTGGATGAATGGCGGTCTTCCACAGCTCGATTTTCTAGAAACTTTCTGCCACGCACAACCACATTGTGGAATCACCACTGTCGTAGGCGTCGCCGATGGTTCGTTCGCATAAAACCGAAAGTTTACTGAGACTGTCTCACTCATTTGTGAGTGTACCGTACATCGTTACACTAATGTGTTAACTCACGATGACTCGCATCTTAACTTGGCTGACGTGTGCAGGTAATGCCTTAAGTTGCTTCAATGTGAAATGTTACACAGTTATGAATGTTCATTAGTCATGATTATGCTAAGAAACGGGTAATATGTGTAGGATGACAACGATAATTCAGTTAACACATTGTGTTATACATATTAAATTAATATATAACTTGTATGTTTGTTCATGTTCACGTGCTGTCTGCGAATTTCAGGATATCGCCTTAAAATGATGCTACATTATAAAAGAACACTAGTTGCAAAACTTCCAATTTATTACCCGCGGTCTAGTCTGTTCTTTATTAAATATTTCAGTTTATATATAAAGTTCTTAATTTTTGTCATTTATTCATACTATTGGGATTGCTAAAATATACATTTTTTTTTTATTGGATTGTTTGGGCTATTGTCAGATGTGTAGTACCGGTAGCACTGCGACCTACATAGATCTATTGTGCTCGCCCTTTTCAGAGTTCGCTACCTAGACCCGTCAGGGACAAGAATTGAAGGATATTCTTAGGAGCGATCGTTTTTATCTCCTCGGGAAAGAGTGTAAACTTTCCAAAGGAGATATTTCGTTTATGCATGAGTGAGCTACAACCACATAGGATGTGAAGCGGCGTTTCCTCTTCAGTTTGGCAGAATCTGCAGATACTTGTCGTGCATAGGCCTAGTTTAGCCATATGCTTGTTTAATTTGCAGTGTCCTGTGGGGGGCCTAGTCATCATGCATAAAATATACATTAGTTTCTGTGTTAATAATAATGTAGTAGTCAAATTCAAATTCAAATTCAGAATATCTTTATTCATGTACTATAGATCTATTACAGACTCTTATGATATGTCAAATCTACCGTCAGTTCGGAATGATTTCGAGATGAGCTGACAAGAAACTCAGCTCGTATTCTTTTCAAATAAATTTTGAATAAAATAACTACTAAATTGAAATTGAGAAACCAAAAGGGCGGTAATTAAAGTCATGTTTTCGCTACCATATAGACATCCTACAACGCTGGTATACGAACAGGCTGATGTTTTGTCATTGCGTATAATGTCCATATAACAGTGTCTAAGACGATGTCATCATGTTACCGTCCCGGCAATGACATGTCCGGCAATGTCATGTGTGACAAACCAAATCGCATTATTAGAAATTTTAAATATCCAATCCCGTTTGTGAAAACAACATTTGCAAAGAAGCAATTTAATTATATAGCACCTCGGTTATACAATGCACTTGCTGGCAAGGGTAATGATAAATTAAAGGATAAATCTAATCATGATATAAAAAAGATTATTTTAAAATGGCTAGAACCGCTTGAGTATGAAAACTGTGAAACACTAGTGTCCCCGTATTAATATATAGAGAGAGGTATACTCTCCTTGTCTCTCTCTCACACACACACACACACACACACACATAGACACTCACACTGCAAGTAAATGATGATAAGCTTAAGTTAATACCTTATTTGATTGTCTTTTTATAATTTGTAATTCCAACCATTGTGAATTGTAAGAGGAGGGAACTGGTAGGTACCTAAAATAATAGTAATAATAATAAAATTTGTGGTAAAAACTAGCAAAAGCTGAGAAAATACGACAATAGTGTAAATAATATTTTTTCTTATACTACTATGGTGGCAAACAAGCATACGGCCCATCCGATGGTTCCGAAAATTGGGGTACATTTTGATTTTTACAAAATGTCCCGCAACTCGGTGTGCCTTTTGTCATAAGTCTCCACCAGCTCTCTCCACTGAACTCTGTCTTCCACAATCCTGTTCCAGAACAGTCCCAGAGACAGGTTGATGTCATCCTTCCAGCGTGTTCTTTGGCGACCCTAGTTTCCGATATAACAGTAATATATAAATATTATTCTGTAGGCGCATATACAGCAACGGTACCCTGGAGGTGTTGCCCGCGAGTGGGTCGGCCCCCGCGGCCGCCACGCTGCGGTGCCGCGCCGCCAACGCACACGGCGTCGCGCTCTCCAGGGACCTCACCCTACTACCTGGTATGTACAAATTCAAATTCAACATATTTACTTATGTAGGTCTATTACAGACTCTTATGATATGTCAAATCTACCGTCAGTTCGGAATGATACCAAGATGAGAAGAGCTGACAAGAAACTCAGCTCGTATTCTTTTCAAATAAATGTTGTACAGACACACAAACACTACATTCTTATTCTTCTATATCTTTGCTGGCCTCGGTGTTGGTAACCAACTTTTGTCTCGTCTGGGGTTCAGTTACGAGCACGTTGCAAACATTTGTACAACATGAGTTTGTTTGTCTGTACCTTACACATTTTTTTTATTGATAGGTTTACGAAACTGGATGTCTTACAGATAACATAATTTTACACAGATAAACAAATTATATAAGTAATACATCCTACTAGGTGTAAACACAACACGCATTGCATAATTTTTACACACATAAAATGAGAGTATACAATAATCTATACATATAAATAAAATTGGAGTGTCTGTTTGTAATATGGAAATAACCGTATTTACTACATGCATATGAATTTAAATACGGTACATACACCAAAATAACATTTTTTACAATTTTTGTCTGTCTGTCTGTCGGTCTGTTTGTTCCGGCTAATCTCTGAAATGGCTGGACCGATTTTGACGGGACTTTTTTGGGAGGTAGCTAATTTAATACGGAGTAATTTAGACTATTTTTATTTTAGAAGAATAATCTTAAATTCCACGCGGACGAAGTCGCGGGAACAGCTGGTAATAATAATAATAATTTGAGACGAGAGATGGGTAATTGTATTTTATTACAATTACCCACCTCTCGTCTCAAATTACAATCTAGTGAGCCCTTGGTATCATCTGTTAAAATATTCAACATTCAACCATCTCCCATCTTCTATAAGAACATTGAGTAAGGTTAACCTTTAAATATTTTATAAATAGGCTATGTACATATTTATAAAATATTTAAAGGAAATAATAAACAATATTAAATATTTTAATTTTAACATAACATATGTGTATAATTGTATATAAAAAGTAAATGTAACTGGCAGAATACAAACATGTGTGTTGCCAAAACATAATAAAAAAGAAAGTTGAAAAAATAATAAAATTAAAAAAATAAACAGAGACATTATCTCAACATTGCATTTTTATTTCATAAATATAATTAATATCTATCAACCATCCCTCAAATCCTCGATCAGGTTTAAACAATATGAATTTCATAATATAATAAGTATATGTGTGAATAATATTGAATTATATGTTGTAACTAGCTTTTGCCCGCGGCTTTGCTCGCGTTAATTTATCCCCTTAGGGGTGGAATTCATCAAAATCCTTTCTTAGGGGATACCTACGTCATAGTAGCTTTATGCATGCAAAGTCTCAGCCCGATCGGTTTAAAATTGACAAAGTTTCATACAAACTTCCACCCCCTATTTAATGTCCTTGGTGGTAGAATTAATCAAAATTCTTTCTTAGTGGATGCCTACGTCATAACATCTACTTGCATGCTACATTTCAGCCCGATCCGTCCAGTGGTTTGGGCTGTGCGTTGATAGATCAGTATGTCAGTCACCTTTGAGTTATATATATTTAGATTAGAAGAAATATTAATACTAAATGTTAATCATTTGTAATGATAATAATTTTAGAAGATTTTTAATATTTCAGAGATTAGCCAAGTAGTCTAAGTTACTCATTAGTACATCAGCTACCTGCCTAAAAAATCCCGTCATTTTGACGGGACGGTCTGACGGTCCATTTCAGAGATTAGCCGGAACAAACAGACAGGCAAACAAAAAATGTAAAAAAAAATATTTTGGTGTATGTACCGTATTTAAATTCATATGAATGTAGTAAAAAACGGTTATTTCAATATTACAAACAGACACTCCAATTTTATTTATATGTATAGATTATGATCATATTTTACTGTAAATATGGAATGCAATAAATCTTGAGTATTGGAACAAAGAATTACGCTACAGAAAGTATTATACATATGTACATACACATTAATCTGCCGATCGATCCCCCGTCCAATTCAAACGGGGATCGATATTACGACAGCCTGAGCCGAGGTTCGAACCCCTAGCGGTGCCCTCAGACTAAAGTCGTTTCAATCAGGCGGGAGTTGGCCTTCAGCCGCTCCATAAGTCCTTCCTTGGTTTGGAGTGCCATCTGCACTCGCCCCCTGTCGTCCGGTGAAGCTGTAAAGGCCAGCTGCGGCCAACAGCATTAGAGCAGTTCGAGAAAGTGAAGGTTTCATAACAATATAAGAAATAATGTTTTGGTAAGTGTCGGACGTGAACTGGGAGGCGGTGCTGGTGGCGGCGGCGGCGTGGGCGGGCGGCGTGGCCGCGCTCACGTGCCGCGCCGCAGACAGCTCGCCGCACGTCCGCCCCGCCGTATGGTACCGCGGCGACACAGTACTCGACGTACACGCACCCACTGCAGGTATGATCAATGATACATGTTCACGTGTAATCAGGAGCGCGGGAAAGACTACGCGCGCAACCGTGAAGTATTGCATTTTACAATTTCTTTGTTAACTTTTTCGCGCGTGTTTTATGCGTAATATATATGTCATGTTTCTTATTTATTTATTTATTTATTAAAAGAAAACCAAGGCTATTTAAGTAAACCTAATGGCTAACCAAGGCTATGTAAATAAAATCAATATAGACGTCATACTAATCCACTGACATACTTTCCTTAATAACAACAGACTAATCCTAAAAAAATACTTCACTACGTATAAAAGCAACAACACATAAATATCTCTCTGTTAAAGTTTTAACAGAGAATATGAAATATAATATTCTTTCTTCGATAATTACATTTTTTAATTCAATTATTTTATTTTCTAGAAATACTTTATGATTTATAAACTATCAATAATTCTATAAAAGTAAATTCTACAAGCCAGATGTCCACTATTTTATATAGAAAACAGAAATAATCTTTATTCAAATAAACTCATTACAAGCACTTTTGAATAGTCATATTTTGATTCTACCACTCATTCGGAACGCAGATTCATCACAAGAAGAATGAGCAAGAAACTTGTGTGTTGCTCTATTCAATAGTTGTTTTTCTTTATATACATAATTACAGAATAACAAGTAAGAAAGTTAGAGAAAGGGCTAAGTTGGTTTAAGTTACAACCCTTAATAAACTAACTTGTGTCTTTCTTATTGACAACAACCTGCCGGCCCACATGATCATTAACATTAGCGAAGACATAAACGGTATCACAGAAAAGGACCATAGAAATAGTAGTAAAAAGTATTTTATAGAAATAGAAATAATCAGTTATTATATAAACATGAAAGACTATTCTAGAGTGCTTATATTAAATAAGCACTTAAGAATAGGCTTACACGCAGAAAAGAATGAGTACGTAAATAAGACGGACCGCGCGCACCATCAGCTCGCGTTTTTTTAATTGTGCGCCCTTTAGCGCTTTTTCAAATAATTAATTATTATATATTATTATATATAAAAAAAAATCTATTCAAAAGTGCAACACACAAGTTTCTTGCTCATTCTTCTTGTGATGAATTTGCGTTCCGAATGAGTGGTAGAATCAAAATATGACTATTCAAAAGTGCTTGTAATGAGTTTATTTGAATAAAGATTATTTCTATTTCTGACGATACACAGTTTATGAGAACAGTATTAGAGTTAACGAAATTCAGGTAACTCGAGTTCAACATGATGCCTACGGCCACTTTTTACCATCGCACCGCTCGCTATCGTCAGGGAATTCATTTCCACACGCTGGAACCTAAGTGGTCTCGAACAGAGTGGTTTCAGAGGAGCTTCCTCCCGCATACACTTAGGTTGTGGAATGAACTTCCTGCCGAGGTTTTCTCACGAGACTACAGCATGGGGTTCTTCAAGAAGGGTATATTAAGGTTTCTTAAGGGTCGGTGTAGGTACCCGGTACCCCTGGTGTGTCAGGCGTCCATAGGCTACGGTAACCAATTACCATCAGATGGGCCGAATGCCTGTTTGCCACCATAGTAGTATAAAAAAAACGGTTTGACCGATTTTTATAAAGTTTTATATGCATATTCAGTAGGTCTGAGAATCTCGTAATAAATATAACTCGAGTTACCTGAATTTCCACTCGAGTTAACTCGAGTTATATTTATTAAGAGTTAACATATCTTTAGTTTCGATTACATTCAACTAGCGATACAAAAACATCTGCTACAGGCTACAACTGTGCGTACGCGGTCTAATTAAAGGCACGTCCCGAGCGGACAGCGGCGCGTTTTTACTTAAACCCATATTTATGTCGTGGACGAAGTAATATTAATTAAAGCAATATCTCATTTACACGGCGCGCGGCTGAGGGGCACGCAGGGGGCCGGCTGGGGGCCGGAAGGGGGCGAGGGGCAGCCGTATTTCACGCGGGACGCTGATGAATGGCCCGGATAAGAACTTGTTATGATCTCGCTTAAGACGTACTAAATTAGCTCGTATATATTTTATTGATTACGCCGTATGCCACTTATTATGATTAATTTATTAAAAAACAAAACAAAAATATCTTTATTCATGTAGTTCCATTACAGACTCTTATGATATGTCAAATCTACCGTCAGGTCGGAATGATATCGAGATGAGACGAACTGACAAGAAACTCAGCTCGTATTATTTTCAAAAGAGCTTGTGCATGATTACAACATTACAAATGTAGGTGATAAAGGAAACCAGAGAATTGTCGTAAGATATATGTATATTATAAAACTAGCTGTACCTGCGACTTCGTCCGCGTGAAATTTAACTTTGTTTGTCTAAAATAAAAGTAGCCTAAGTTACTCCTTATTACACCAGCTACCTGCCAATAAAAGTTCCGTCAAAATAGGTCTAGTCATTTCAGAAATTATCCGGAACAAACAGACTAATTCTGACGCTATTAAAAAATAGGGGTTGGTGATAGAAGGCTGAAAATTTAGGGTTGTATGTATTTTTTAAAGACATAATAAAAAATATTGCCCATAAAATAAAAAAATAATGTTAGGGGTAGACAACCCTTATCACTTAGGAGTATGAAAAATAGATAGATAGTATAGTTAGATAGATAGTAGCCGATTCTCAGACCTACTGAATATGCATATAAAACTTTATAAAAATCGGTCAAACCGTTTTTTTTATACTACTATGGTGGCAAACAGGCATTCGGCCCATCTGATGGTAATTGGTTACCGTAGCCTATGGACGCCTGACACACCAGGGGTACCGGGTACCTACACCGACCCTTAAGAAACCTTAATATACCCTTCTTGAAGAACCCCATGCTGTAGTCTCGTGAGAAAACCTCGGCAGGAAGTTCATTCCACAACCTAAGTGTATGCGGGAGGAAGCTCCTCTGAAACCACTCTGTTCGAGACCACTTAGGTTCCAGCGTGTGGAAATGAATTCCCTGACGATAGCGAGTGGTGCGATGGTAAAAGGTGGCCGTAGGCATCATATTGAACAATTCCTCAGAACACAGTCCGTTGCATAATCGGTAGAACAGACAAAGCAAAGCGAAGTCTCGCCTCAAACTAAGTGGCTCGATACCGCCAGAGAGATTGTGATCATCGACAATTCTCATAGCACGTCTCTGAACCAAGTCAAAAGGACCGAGCTGGTATCCAGGTGCTCCTGCCCAAAGACGAGAGCAGTACTCCATGTGCGGCCGAACTTGAGACTTAAATAAGAGGAGTCTCTGGTCCGCAGGGAAGTACCGCTTCGCTCTATTGAGCACACCGAGTTTTTTGGACGCCAGCTTGCCCTTTTCTTCGAGGTGAATACGGAACTCAACTGCGCTAGAGATGTCGATACCGAGAATCTTAATACACTTAGAGATGATAATGGACGTGTTCTGGAATTGCTGAGCTACAGCAAAAGGAGTTTGGGTATTAGAGGAGTATGGTAACTAACATTCTGATACGAGAATTTTATATATAAGATATAGAGCCACGCAGACGAATCTGATAAGTGCGATGTTTGTTTGTTTGTTCGTTAGAGTCTCGTTACGTGGTGGCCGGCGACACGCTGCTGGTCCGCGACGTGTCCGCGGCGGACGCAGGCCCCTACAGCTGCGTGGCGCGGCACGCCCTCACGGCGCTCACCAAGCGCTCCCGGCCCGTACACCTGGCAGTCGCACGTGAGTACTTCCCGACCACACTTTTACACACACACGACACCGTCCTCGCCGGCGAAGACGATGACCCCAAACATACACAACCGCGCAATCAACCGCGAGCCTGAGCGCACCTGGGTGCTCCCGGTCGCCCCTCCGATCGATCCCGTGTCCAATTCAAACGGGGCTCGAAATTACGACGGCCTGAGACAAGGTTCGAACCCCTAGCGGTGCCCTCAGATTAAAGTCGTATCCGTCAGGCTTGAGTTGGCCTTCAGCCGCTCCCTAAGTCCTTCCGCGGGCTTGGAGTGCCATCTGCACTCGCCCCCTATCGTCTAGTGAAGCTGTAACGACCAGCTGCGGCCAATAGCATTAGTGTAGTCCGAAAAAAAACACACTCTTTATCTTATATATTTATTGTTTCTACTGTTATATTCATAGATTTTAACCCAATACAATAGCGTAACAAATACATTTTTTATAATTACTTGTAGCTTATCTTAATAATATTATATCGCGAAAGTTACAAATATGGATAGATGTTTGTTACTCTTTCACGCAAAAACTACTGAACTGATTTTGATAAAACTTTACAGTAATAATAGTAATACATTAGAATAACATGTAGGCTATAAATTTCACGCGGGTGACATCGAATACATTGTGACAAAAAAACAGTCCTGTTTGTTCCGCTGTGTTCAATGTACGCAGTGCCTTTGTGAGCGGTGCTTTGCCGAGTGTCTTGTCTGAGATGAAGTACAGATGAAATTGAAAGTGTTGACTCAAGTCCTATAACAACTTATTTACTGTAACTATTTATTTTTGCTAAAATTTGTGTCTCTATGTCACGACAAATTTTCTTAAACAGATATATTTAATAGGACCCCGAAATACAATATTATATTTCGGAAGAAAGTTTGTGTAGTGGACATGTTGCATAGAATTTATTTAAATTATTTATATTTAACTCTTGCATTTCATTTATAACTTTGTACACAATTAAAATAAATTAAATACTACTTGTTGCTCGCAGTGGAAACTATTTAAAAGACGACTTCGCTTTTAAAATAGAAAATACATTGAAAATCTAGACGCTGGTGTTGCCTGCGCTATAATGTTCCTCCGGCGGCGCGCCCTCTCGACCAATTTAATTACGCTAAAGTTCATTTCCTTTAATGTCCTTATCGGGAATTGGCTGCACGTTAGCCGACCTCGGATACTTAGGAGGCATCCTCTATACCAGGGGTGGCCAACAGGTCGATCGCGACTGTTAGTCCAGTAGATCAAAAAATATAAATACGAAGACCAGACTACGCAATGTAATCGTAAAAAAGGTTGGCAATTTCCAACTACAAACCTGATTTTGTTAAACTAGTGGATGCTCAGACGCAATACTCACACTAAGAAATAAGTACCTGTGTAAGTTACTAAGAATAATTTTCACATTCATGTTTTCTCTCTTAATTAAATAAAAAAATACTACATGATTGTGTACTAAACTGTGTTTCATTTAAGATTTCAATAAGTATGTAATTGGTAGTTCGCACAGGGTTTCAATAGTAAACATGAGATCTTGGGTCTCATCAAGTTGGCCACTCCTGCTCTATACCTACTTTATAATATCAACCTTACTGCTTTATATAATTGTCTCACATCAAAAGTAGAGAGAAATATGACATTTCTGTCGGTAACTTGTTAAGTAGTTCTGAAGCCATGCGAAAATTTTTAAATTCATTTTTATCCATCACAACATAAGCTCGCCACGCGTGTCTCTAAGTTCTTTTTTTTACCCAATTTAGTACGGTGTTATAATAACAAAATAAACTCTATTATTTAAATATAAATTTTATTAAAGTGGATTCTGTAACAGACTATTTAATATTTATATTTAATTATCTTGTGACTATATATACGATTTGACGACCTCAGTGGTCTAGCGGTCTAGCACACCGCTTTACGTCCAATGGTCGCGGGTTCGATTCCTCGCACGGCAAAAACATTTGTATTCATGAATATGATTGTTTGTATCGGTCTGAGTGTTTTCTATATATAATATGTATGTATTTACGAAAATGTCTATGTAATTGTATCAGTTATCTAGTACCCGTAACACAAGCATTAGCTAGCTTAACTTAGGACTAGATGGCGCTGTGTGAATTGACCTGAGATTATTATTATTACACAAAATGTGTCTTATGTGCACTGTCCTCTTATTAATTGTTTAACCAGTTGTTGTGTATTCAATATTTTTTCTATTTGATTATTTAATTGAATTAGTGCTAATCAGTAGTTTATATTCACACACTTAAAATATAAAATTATTTAAAAGAGCAACACACAAGTTTCTTGCACGTTCTTCGTGTGATGATACAGCTTTCCGAATGAGCTAGATGAGATGAGATGAGAGATAGATTAAAAAAAATGTGATGACTATTCAAAAGTGCTTCAATGTAAGTTTATTTGAATAAATGATTTTCTATTCTATTCTATTCCTTGAAGGATAAAACAACCAGAACTTCACACTGTAGTCTTTAAAAGTAGGCCTGACCACATTACAGTCAAGTAATAGTTTCCATACAGTGTGAAGTTCTGGTTGTTCTGTCTTCAAAAGTAGGCCTGACCACAGTACAGTCAAGTAATAGTTTCCATACAGTGTGAAGTTCTGGTTGTTCTGTCTTCAAAAGTAGGCCTGACCACAGTACAGTCAAGTAATAGTTTCCATACAGTGTGAAGTTCTGGTTGTTCTGTCTTCAAAAGTAGGCCTGACCACAGTACAGTCAACTAATAGTTTCCATACAGTGTGAAGTTCTGGTTGTTCTGTCTTCAAAAGTAGGCCTGACCACAGTACAGTCAACTAATAGTTTCCATACAGTGTGAAGTTCTGGTTGTTCTGTCTTCAAAAGTAGGCCTGACCACAATACAGTCAACTAATAGTTTCCATACAGTGTGAAGTTCTGGTTGTTCTGTCTTCAAAAGTAGGCCTGACCACAGTACAGTCAACTAATAGTTTCCATACAGTGTGAAGTTCTGGTTGTTCTGTCTTCAAAAGTAGGCCTGACCACAGTACAGTCAACTAATAGTTTCCATACAGTGTGAAGTTCTGGTTGTTCTGTCTTCAAAAGTAGGCCTGACCACATTACAGTCAAGTAATAGTTTCCATACAGTGTGAAGTTCTGGTTGTTCTGTCTTCAAAAGTAGGCCTGACCACAGTACAGTCAAGTAATAGTTTCCATACAGTGTGAAGTTCTGGTTGTTCTGTCTTCAAAAGTAGGCCTGACCACAATACAGTCAAGTAATAGTTTCCATACAGTGTGAAGTTCTGGTTGTTCTGTCTTCAAAAGTAGGCTGACCACAATACAGTCAAGTAATAGTTTCCATACAGTGTGAAGTTCTGGTTGTTCTGTCTTCAAAAGTAGGCCTGACCACAGTACTAGTCAACTAATAGTTTCCATACAGTGTGAAGTTCTGGTTGTTCTGTCTTCAAAAGTAGGCCTGACCACAGTACAGTCAACTAATAGTTTCCAATCTACTTTTCAATAAAACTGGGAAGCAAATAATTTATGATTGTTAACGTCAGCGGGACCCTCTAATTCTGCACCTCGAGTGGTGGCGAGCGCCAACGAAGTGTCGGTGGCAGCCGGCGCTGACTTCTGTATACCCTGCGTCGCTTCTGAGTACCCTCCGCCTCATTACACGTAAGTTATAGTTTCTCAGTTTATGCCAATGTTTGTAAGAATAATATTTTTTTTTTCTCAAATTCAAATTCAAAAATCATTTATTCATGTAGGATATTTTAGCCGCTTATGAACGTAAGTTTTTACATTATAATTTTTTTCCCTACTGTCCAGTTCGGTTTATAGATCCAATTGAGAAGAACTGGCAAGTAACTCAATTGAATTACTTTTTTTTATAAAGTCTGTTTATTTACAATGCATAGGTATTTATATAGGTGTCTATGTCTAACATTTTGTCACAGTATATTATATATGTTTTTATATCTGCCTTCATATATGATTTATTTGTTCATTCTTATGATATTGCAGTTGTAACGTCAGTCCTATATGTGGAACTAATTGAACTGAATTGAGTTTAGTAAAGCACTAGTTTTTTTTTATTCGAATAGTATTGACTAATGCACTTGGCAGTAGTTAGTCTTTACAGTTTCATCGAACGAAAATGGGGCGAGTACAGAGCGTACTCCAAGCCCACGGAGATAAGTCATTGTGCAAGTTTGGAGTGCCATCTGCACTCGGCCGTTATCGTCCGGTGAAGCTGTAAAGGCCAGCTGCAGCCAACAGCATTAGAATAGTCTAAAAAAAAGGGGAAAATTAGTATGCAATAATATCCATTGAATTATTTGGTTTGATTGTTAGTGCTACATATACTGTTGTTTGGTGTAGGTGGTACCGCGAGATGAACGGCCGCCTGCAGCCGGTGGAGCCTTCGGGCGGGCGCTGGTGGTGGGCGGGCGGCGCGGCGCTGTGCTTCTCCCGAGCCTCCCCCGCCGCGGGCGGTGCATGGCTGTGCAAGGCCTACAACGTGTATGGGGACGCCACCAAGCAGATGAGGCTCCACGTAGATGGCGCAGACGACCTGGCTGTCACCGTCGCGCCCGCCGTCCTCGTACGTAACACATTATTGTTATTACCCTCAATATTTGACGGTCTTGATGGTCCAGAGGTTTGACACACCGCCTTAGTTTCGACGGTCGCGGGTTCGATTCCTCGCACGGCACAAACATTTATGTTCAGGAGTATGATTGTTTGTATCGGTCTGGGTGTTTTCTATGAAAAATATGTACCTATGTATTTGTGTCAGTTGCCTAGTACCCATAACACAAGTTTTAGTTAGCTTCACTTGGGTCTAGATGGCGTTGTGTGATTGTCCTGAGAAAAAAAATAATAATAATAATCCTAGGACAATTCACACAGTGCTATTACTTCATGTTGTGTAAATAATCATGTCAGATTATAGAATGTATGGGTAACATGAGAATCATAGAGATAACAAAGTTCCATGCATAATGTTTGTATGATCCGGTATAAAGTCGCTGGACGGCCGGGTCAGGCCCCACTTACAGCGGAGCTTGCGGTAAACTATTTCCTTGACTTAATTCGCTATTATCTTTAATGTGTAACCGCCGCTGGTGTTTAGTCGTTATTTCAGAGTTTTCTAAAAGAATATACGCCAACAACAGTTAAGTTTTTCTTTGTTTTTTTGTCACTTTATCGAGTTACAAGATACGTATTCAAAACTTTTTTTTGTATGTATATACATTATCTGATGCGATTTTTTTAATGTTTTATTTAGGTAATTAACAGCTTGTAGAATATAATCTCAATCCTAATAATATTATATATGCAACAGTTTGTAAGTATGGATGTTTGTTACTCTGTCACGCTACTAAAAATCTACTGGACGGATTTTGATGAAACTGTACAGTAATATAGCTTAGGCATCAAAATTACGTATGGGCTATATTTTTTATGGAAATTTAACGCGAGTGAAACCGCGGGCACAGCTAGTTTAATATATACGCATTCCCGCGCATCGTCAGCGTGGAATTTAACTTTATTTTTAAATAAAAGTAGACTAAGTTACTCCTTATTACATCAGCTACCTGCCAAGAAAAGTCCCGTTAAAATCGGTCCAACCATTTCAGAGATTAGCCGGAACAAACGTACAGACAGACAGCCAGAAATTGTAATAAATGTTATTTTGGTGTATGTACTGTATTTATATTCATATGCATGTAGTAAAAAATTTCAATATTACAAACAGACACTCCAATTTTATTTATATGTAGATATAACAAAACAACGTTAGCTAGTGACTTCATTATTATAGGGGGAGAGCATGATACTGTTTAATTATTCTTGTCGAATATCCACCCACTCTTAATTGATAGTTTTACGTATTGACTTGGACTTAACATGGACAAAGTAAAGTCCGGCCGCATAGAGTTTTCGTTTCTGACAGGTCGGGATCGAATGGCCGATATAACTTTGAACTGACGTGCAATTTACATCAAAACTTTAAACACCTTTTATTTGCCCTATTAATGTGTGATAACATTGAAATAAATTTTCAATTTATCATTATTACAACTTACAATAAACGTATTAATCTTAATTTTTGACGATCTCGGTGGTCTAACGGTCTAGTACACCGCTTTACGTTCGATTCCTCACACGGCACAAATATTTGTATTCATGAGTATAATTGTTTGTATCGGTCTGGGTGTTTTCTATGTATAATATGTATGTATAAAAAAAATATATCTATGTATTTGTATCACTTGTCTAGTACCCATAACACAGGCTCTAGCTAGCTTAACTTGGGTCTAGATGGCGCTGTGTAAATTGTCCTGAGATTATTATTATTATTAGGCTAAAATTATTAACTATTAACTACTGAACAGATATAAAAACAATAGTATTCAAAAGTCAAACCACATCAAACTGCGCTGTTTCAAAGTCATTTGGTCACATCACTACAAAACAAATAGTTGACATAACTTGTCAGAAACTTTGAGCGGCCGGACTGTGGTAACATTTACGTCATAAATACTAGCTTTTTTTTCTTCGGACTAGTTGACCGCAGCTGGCCTTTACAGCTTCACCGGACGATAGGGGGCGAGTAGAGATGGCACTCCAAACCAATGGAAGAACTTGTGGAGCGGCTGAAGGCCAAATCCCGCCTGACGGGTACAACTCCAGTCTGATGGCACCGCTAGGGGTTCGAACCTCGGCTGAGGCCGTCGTAATATCGATCCCCGTTTGAATTGCACGGAGGATCGATCGAAGGGACTCCCCCTTCTAACTAACTGCGTGTGTAGGTTTTTTAATAGATGATAATGGAATGGTGCAACCGTCTGCGATAACAGTATACACTGGCGGAGCACCAGTGGAGGATGATAGGATGGACATGAGGTCAGGTCAGTTAGCCCATCGACAATAGACAAATTCACGAGGAATCATGATGGTTTCTAGGAGGAACCCCGTGAAAATCAACCTGGCATAGTTCGTTGCTGGCAAAGGGGTCAGACACATGAGGTCAGGTCAGTTAACCCATCGTGACAAATCACGAGGAATTTATCATGGTTTCCAGGGAGAATCGCTTGGAGGTCAACCTGATATGGTACATTGCTACCAATGGGGTCTACAGACCACGTTACTAACAATTTCCCTTCTCTCCTGTGTTCCTGTAGGTGGCTGACACGGGCAGCACGGCCCGCCTCAACTGCAGCGCGAGCGACCCTTCAGGGAGCATCACGTGGCTGCACGACGGCGTGGCGGCCGGCAGCGGGCCCGAGTTGGTGCTGCGGGCCGTCACTCGCTCGCACCGCGGACTCTACCAGTGCTTCGCAAGAAGAGGGTCGTATGCGGTACACGCTTCTGCTGAGCTGCGGCTGGGAGGTAAGTGGCACATCTACAAGCACTATAGTGACTGGTGTCGAAGGTAACCTAATAAAAGGTTGGTAATTTATTTTTATTTGTATACTAGCTACTCGCCCCGGCTTCGCCTGGATGTACATGTATTGTACATATAAACCTTCCTCTTGAATCATTCTATCTATTAAAAAACCGCTTCAAAATCCGTTACGTAGTTTTAAAGATTTAAGCACATATAGGGACGGACAGACAGCGACAGCGACTTAGTTTTATAATATGTAGTGATGTCACTCCACTGTCTACCATCTTAAACATTTTGCCAGTTATAAATAGTTTAATTACATATTTCTACAATATGGTAGTTCCCACGTCAGTTTTAAGCAAGCCAAATGTTAAAATAAGTCAATAACTGCTTTCACTATGACGTTAACAATTAATTATTCCACATATTGGATAACAATCCTATATATACACGCGACTTCGTCTGCGTGGAATTTAACTTTATTTCTCTAAAATAAAAGTAGCCTAAGTTACTCTTTATTACATCAGCTACTTGCCAAAAAAAGTCCCGTCAAAATAGGTCCAGCCATTTCAGAGATTAGCCGGTACAGACAGACAGACACAAAAATTGTTAAAAATATTATATTGGCGTATGTATCATATTTATATTCTGTAGTAAAAAACGGTTATTTCAATATTACAAACAGACGCTCCATTTTATTTATATGTATAGATCACCAATATTAATATCTATATAATAATATTATTACTATAATTGCCGTGTGTACTCGTATTAATATGAAAAACAGCGTTGATGTACACTGCACTAGATCCACGTCAATTAAGTGACCACAAAGAGCCAGCCATCCACCACCGGGCACAGTACCGAGCCAGCACCGGTCTACTGCGGGGAAGCTGTTTTATTTCATCAACATTACATCTCATAAAATTTTGAATTGAATTTTGAATACCATATAGGTATTCTGATGTATTTATTACATTTAAATTCAAATTCAAAATATCTTTATTCATGTAGGTCTAATACAGAATCTTATGATATGTCAATTTGCATATATATTCATAAATTATACAAAGCTAAAAGATTCGTCAATTATCAATAATATAAAATATCCTTGGACATTTCAAACAGCGCCATCTAGTCCTAAGTTACGCAGAGTTTGTGTTACAGTTATAGATACGAGCGTGCATGGCAATAGTTGTTCATGCACGGGATTTTCATTTAATGTTAGACATAGACACCTATATAAATATACATACATTGTAAATAAACTGGCTTTAAAAAAAAGTTTCTTGCCAGTTCTTCTCAATCTATATACCGAACTGGACGGTAGGTAAAAAAATAAAATTATAATGTAAAAAAAATTAAGAGTTCATAAACGGTTAAAATGTCCTACATGAATAAATGATTTTTTAATTTGATTTTTTTTTTTAATTCGTATACTATAAACATAGAAAACACCCAAACCGATACAAATTTTATATGCAAATCGTGTTCAATTTAGTAAAGTTACTTCATGTAATATATATCGCTTATGAACTGCTGTGAATGCAACTTTTCATAATTTATTATCAGTGTGCATGCAGTTCGCGACGTGCACTGCAACCGGAGCAGACGGCGCGGCATGTAATACATTACGCTTATAGACTATACATTTACAAGCAGACATTCTTGTAACCAGTTAATGTATAGTGCGCTAATGGAAATTACCACGTAATCCGATGGTCATAATTTTTATCACAATGTCCATAATTAGTGTGGACAGCATCTGTTCTATATTCCTTACTACCACCCAAAACCTTTTACGCACTCATCTGACAATCGACAATTCAATAAAGCGCTAAGAAAATACATCGATGTCACTTGTTGTCATAAAAATCGAATATGAAAAGTGATTTCGCGGCCAAATAGGGTACGAACAGAACGGGAGACAGTGGGCTGAGACGGGGGCGGCGAGGGATGGCACGGGGGGTTGAACGAGAGGGGGTGCGGTGGTGTCGCAATCAATCTCAATGTAGTGTCGTGATCTAGAGTCGGAATCAATCAGCGAAAGGCATTTGTTGAAACGTCTTGCTTTGCCTGTGTTCGAGTACTGCGACGAGGCGAGGCGAGCCGCGCCGGGAACTCCCTGGAGCATGCGAAAATAATTAGAGTCCCATCCAATTGGGTATCGTCTGCCTTTTATACGATACGTCTAAAATTAAAGCGTTCAGTTCAATACTTAATATGGAGTAAATAAATAATGATCTCTTATGAAAATGTATTGATGTTCTTTGTGTACCGTACAGTTGAAATATTACATTTTTTTTGACAACGCCGAACAGACAGCATTCAGAAATCTCGTGATGGTGCTGCAGTAGAAGGGAAAATAGCTCCAGGGATCATAGGTGTTGATGCTATTAGGGTTGGTGTCGACACGGCCGCAGTCCCGGACAGACTGAAGTGTGCCACAGCCTCAGAACACCATCAATTAATAGTGTATAAGGGAAAAGAAAAAAACCTACACTACACACATATTTAAAATAATATTTTCGTGGAGAAGGTGAAAGGTAGAAAAAGAAAGACAGAATAAATAAAAGATTCTAAAAGTAAACGAAAAAGGGCATGGACTTAATGGTCTATGGAAAGTAAGAGCGTAATAATAATGTAATGTAATGTAATGTAAAGTTAGCCTCACATTTGGTCCGTTGTGCGTGTAGAGCCAGACTACTAACGCAGCCAGCCAAGCTCCTCCCAGAAGCGCAGAAGACTCCTGGTGTCTTCACAGGCTTCACGGAGCGACCTCACCGTTCCGAGGATTTGTGTTCGTTGTGTGGCCACTGCAAGCACTCCAGGATTACATGAGCGGCCGTTTCTTCGGCTTCATAGCAGCCCCGACAAAGGGGACTGTCTGTAGCACCTAATGTGTACAGATGTTTGTTTAAGAGACAGTGGCCCGTTATTGTCCCTATCATTATTTTAAAGTTATGCCTATTTAGGTTTAATAGACGTTTTGTGAGTCGTAGGTTTGTTATTGGAATTGCAACCTTCGATTGTTTACAATCAGGGGTTTGGGGAGCGTAATAATAATAAAAAAAATATTACATTTCAAATTCATTGGAATCCATAGAGTACATTGTAAAATTGTTGTATCATTCTAGTTGTCAGTGGAGTAGTATGGATGTATTCAATTTATGCACATATTACTGAACAGCACAATGGCATCCCGCCTCGCTCTGCACTTGGGCACAAAGGCGGGATGCCTTACATGCAACTCGCGGAACTTTATATACAGCCGAGTTTGTATTTATTATGTATATTTATTCAAACATATAATTGGCAAAGTTGTAACGTTTGAGAAATATGTTCTTGTAGAGAATAAGGATTTCGCCATGAAACGAAAATAGCTCACGATTACCACACCGGCCAAGGGTTTTGGTATATACATTTATATCTAGTATTACTTATCACTAAATGAATCTTCAAATAATATCACTACATAGTATAAAACAAAGTCGCTGTCGCTGTCTGTCCGTCCCTATGTATGCTTAAATCTTTAAAACTACACAACGGATATATTTTACTTTATTACTATCTACTCGCCCCGGCTTCGCACGTGTATACATATATTATATATATATATAAACCTTCCTCTTGAATCACTCTATCAATTAAAAACAAACAGCTTCAAAATTCTTTGCGTAGTTTTAAAGATTTAAGTATACATAGGGACAGACAGCGACAGCGACAGCGACTTTTTATACTATGTAATGATAATGATTACAACCAAAAAAATCTGTCGATAATCGACTACTTGCTGAAACGAATGGAAGTTGACACCTGTGTGGTCCACCCTATTAAATCCACTCTCTGACCGCATCCGCCGCGCCGCTGCCACGCGCCCCGGTGCGAGGGACTCTGAATCAATTCTAAACACTAAAAAACTCATTCATTCATTCATTCAACTCGTTCATTAACTACAAGTTTTTTTATAATAATAATAATAATAATAATAACCTCGGCCGACTGTGCTTCTGCCGGGGATAAGTTGCCATCTCCTCTCCTTAAGAGAGGAGACGAGAATTTTTCTTAAGTTTAAAAAATAATATTAAAATCAGCAATTCACACAGCGCCATCTAGTCCCAAGTTTAGCAATCTAAAGCTTGTGTTACGGGTACTAGATAACTGATACAAGTACATAGATTTTTTTTTCGTAAATACATACATACATACATAGAAAACACTATTGGCGAAGATTATTAACTGGCATAGAACAATTTGATATGACAAGTAACATGTAAAATTACAGCGTTAATCTTCCTAAATAAATAAATAAATAAAAACACCCAGACCGATATAAACAATCATACACATGAATACAAATGTTTGTGTCGTGCAAGGAATCGAACCCACGATCATCGGACGTAAAGCGGTGTGCTAGACCGCTAGACCACCGAGGTCGTCGACAGTTTCATCTTGTTATCAAAACAAGATGAAACTGTTGCATCTATTGGCCACTGAACCCCAAGTAGCGCCCGTGACTTGTGACACGGGTGTAGATTTAGAGAGCCTTTTTAGAATGCATTAACACTCACCTTCACTACTTGTGGTATCTCCCCAGTCCCAACTAATAAACCCCCCAATGCTCACAATATTCACAATTACATTTATCTTATTTGTTTGATAATAAACACTCCAAACTCCTGCTACGTCCATCCATCAATCTACTTGTCAACGTCACAAAGATTATTTTTGGCTCCGGCCTCTGCCGTTCCGTTTCAGGTTACTCTGAATGCCTTAAATAAAGAAACATGTTTGACTTTACCATTCTTAATTAATGGTGTCTCAGACCATAGTTACTACGCTGCCAGATGTCCCGTATTTCCCGGGACGTCCCGTATTTTAGGGTCAGTTTAAAATGTCCCGGCGGGACTGACTCTGTCTCGATTCGAACCGCGCTCTTATTAAATCGATCTACGCTAGACAAAAATACTCACGCACGCAACTTTCGCACCCCTAATTTAAT